AAAAAGGCTGAAAAACGTTTTTTGAACCATATCCGCGTTTTATCCTTTTGGATACCCTTTTGGATAAAACGCGGATATGGCTTAAAAAAGGCTGAAAAACGCTTTTTGGACCATATCCGCGTTTTATGGATAAAACGCGGATATGACTTTAAAAAAGGCTGAAAAACGTTTTTTGAACCATATCCGCGTTTTATCCTTTTGGATACCCTTTTGGATAAAACGCGGATATGGCTTAAAAAAGGCTGAAAAACGCTTTTTGGACCATATCCGCGTTTTATGGATAAACGGATACCCTTTTGGATAAAACGCGGATATGACTTTAAAAAGGCTGAAAAACGTTTTTTGGACCATATCCGCGTTTTATCCTTTTGGATCGCCATCCGTCCGTCCGTCCGTCCGCCCGCCACTCATCCGTCCGTCCGTCCGCCATCCATCCGTCCGTCCGTATCCGCGTTTTATCCTAACCCCATGACAAAGCCCATTGTCAGTTTCTTTACTCTTTTGTTCTAACTCGTGTAGGTTTAGTGCCTGTTCGAGTTGTAAGATTTTTGTTTCGGCAACCGTTAGCTCAGATTCAAGTTGCTTGGTTTTATCTTGTTCATCATGCAGTTCCCTTTCAAGACGCTTTAATTGAGTATCATAACAAACATTGGAAAGGCACTCAGACCGCAAATTTTCCAGAGATTGTAATGCATCATTACGACTCATTACAATGTCATCATTTAGATTCGATCCTATTATGTTATTGTTTTCCTCATGACGTTTTTGCAATCCGGAGGCGTTTTGGTTGTCCAAATTTGAATATTCGACAGCTTTAGGCGAATATTGAATCGTATGTTGGTTTTTCAACAACTGAAACTCTGCCCTAAATACATCGAACTGTTGGTTAATAATGTTTAATTTACCAACTACTTTATCAAGGCAATCTTCAACGTTTTTAATGCTATGTTTGTTACACGAATATCTTTCTCAGTAATTGTTACATCGAGTTTAACGCCCTCCAATTCAACAAGCATTTCATTGCTTGTGGAAGGGAATTCGCAATAGTTGTCGCTTTTGCTTGACTGTACAGGATCGAAATCATTACATAACATTGTACACAACTTAGCTGTTATCAGGTTCCTGTCTCTGCCTTCTATTTCCAACACTTTCTTGGATTTGCGCCAGGATATTGAGCTATAACCATCACTGTATTTTTTTTTATCATTGCCTGGTGAAGTCCATACGCCGACAAAATCAACATTCTTGCTTACAAAAAGCTTCAATTTCTCCAAATCACCCGTCCAGCAAAGCCGTAGTTCTTGCATTTCGATTACAATACTTGCCACAGAGTATTCCAGCAAATAACTAAAAAAAATTTAAGAATAATGTGGAGCGATATATTACACGTCTAACCACATAGAGCGATATAGAGCCATATATGCCCAAGAATTATCCACCCCACTTGTGCTTTTGATAAACTTATGCTTACGACAGTCAATTTTCCCAGATGTAGAGAAATTGGCAAATGTTACACCAATTTTTAAGTCGGGAGACCGATCATCAATGGATAACTATAGACCAATTTCCGTCTTGCCTGTATTAGCAAAGATTATTGAACGTGTTGTTCACAGACAGCTATCTATCTATCTGGAAGAAAACTGTCTGCTTTCCCCTAACCAATTTGGATTTCGTAAAGGTCGATCGACTCAACAGGCAGTTACCTATTTCTCGGACCATATAAGGGATTGTATGGACAAAGGTGAATACTGTGGCGCTGTCTTTATCGATCTGAAGAAAGCATTCGACACGGTGGATCATGGTCGTTTACTGTCCAAATTATCTCACTACGGTATTAAAGATAAAGAACTAACATGGTTTGAGAACTATTTATTTGGAAGGCGTCAACGTGTAATCTACGATGGCACACAATCTGACAGCCAACCTGTCGTCTGTGGTGTGCCACAGGGTTCCATCTTAGGGCCTATGCTGTTCATCTTATTGATTAATGACATCGATCACCAATTGAATAGCTGTAAAATCCTACTATATGCTGACGACACAGTGGTCTTTACATCCAGTAAAAATCAAGAAACCATTAAAGTAAATTTAAACTCGGATCTATCAAAACTGGCCACCTGGTTTTATGAAAACAACCTAGTCGTCAACCTCAAAAAAGGAAAAACCGAATTCATCCTGTACGGTACACCTAACAAATTGTCAAAAGCCGAGAAAATGGATATTATGATTCGAAACGAACCGGTGAACGAAGTACAAGCGTATCAATACCTCGGAGTTAAAATGGATAAATCCTTAACCTATGTTGAGCACAAAGACAAGATATATAAAGAAGCTATGAGAAGAGTTAAACTCCTATCACGCATACGACGTGACATCAGCCCATTGGTTGCGCAGTCAATCTACAAAACGATGATAGAGCCAATCCTTTTATACTGTAATAATCTATTTCTCGGTGACACAGTCAGCTCGATCGAAAAATTCCAGAAAGTACAAGAACGAGCTTTCAAAATTGCTTATGGCAACAACATCCAAAATAATTGGACAAAGTTGGAAAAAATCCGAAACAGAGCTTGTGTAATAGAAGTGTTTAAATGTTTAAATGGCTTGGCACCTCAATGCTATGATGGCTACTTCCAAAGGCACTCACATGGAAAAGGCACCCGTGGAGATAACAACAAACTGCTATTTGCCAAAAGTTAGAACTGAAACTGCACGGAAACGATTTGCATTCCAAGGAGCAGTTCAATACAACAAACTACCAGACAGTCTAACAAAAGAAACTTCATTACTGAGATTTAAAGAACAATGTAACATTATTTTTAACTGTTAGAAAGTTAGAAACGCTTCGTAAATTAGAGACATCTCACTTTTTATTGAACACTATTCTCAATAACTATTCGAAACAATTTGTAAATATGAAGCTTTACACTTTTTATCTATTTAAATTTTATCGTAAACACAGGTCCTTGATTTATAGCAGCTTAATATAGCTGACCAAATTAACCTGTAAAAATATAGTTAATTATTATTATTATTATTAGTAGTATAATTGCCGTAAAATTCTTCGGGAGAAAATTGAATTTGAATATTACATTTTCATTGTTTTCTTATTGCAAGCGAAATGTATTTTATTAAATAACTCTGCGAGTTTTCAACATTTTTCGTCCAAACTTGGTCAGATAGTAGAACTAGTCTAATGCTTTCATGGAAACCAATAAAAAAATTTTAGGCAAAATTAACACTCAAAGGTGTTCTGTAACCTTAAAGCAGTTGTAGATATGGTTCCAAGAAGAATACATTTAGTTTAGATTTACATGTATGCATTAACAAAGCATGAATATTCTTCTCAGACTTATCTGTATCGTACAGAAAAGCAACGCAATTTTGAGAATGCGGAAATGCTGTCTCATAGAACCTAGAATGATTTAAATGCAACATTTCTGATCAAAATCACATTGGAATTTTCTTCCCCCAGCATCACAGAGGGGAAATAAGGTGGTGACGCTGACCGGCTCCTCCTGTTTTTCAAGACTTTTCCAATTTATTTCATTCCGAGTAGAAAATTAGAAATGTCTGGGAAAATTTATGTCTTCAATATACTTTATAATCTTCGGAATTCTGCAAGATTTCACCCCCAAAATGCTTGAAATCGCATTTCAGGGACTCTAGATTTCAAAATTTTCCCGGGGGTGCATGCCCCCGGACCTCCCTAGATGGTCTCGCGCCTTCGGCGTTCGCTTCGCCCCCCCCCCCCCAATAATGAAGGTCTGGCTACGCCACTGACTACACAGGGGTTTTAGAACTTTTTGTATTTTTGCCGACATTTTAGCAACTTTTGGCATTTTAACTGTCAACTTTTTGGCATTTTACGAGCACAATCGCCAATCGGTCAAGTCCTAGCCAGTGAACTCTGTCCTAGCAGGCTCGCCCATCAGTATATTTTAATAGTTATTCGTCCATTTTCGCGGGGGAATGAGTAATTTTCGCTAATTATGATAAATTATGACAATTGTGACCAATATGGCTGCCGAGCAAGGACAAGAAACAGTGACCCGTCAAGATTACTTCTTTAAACTTCCAAATGAGATTCTTTCTATGATATGTTTACATCTATCTTTGCGTGATATGGCCCGATGTATGCGACTGTGCAGAAGATTTAAAACAATTTTATCAAGTCGAGAATTCCGGAAGGATTATTTGAAGAGCAAGGTCAGCTTTGTTCAAGTCAATAAAGATGGCGCTCAACACAAGTTAACTAGATTCAACTTAGATAAATTACTGAATAAATGGTATTGTTATTGGGACGATTCAGATGAAATGCCTGGAGCAAATGACCCAACTCGCTACATATTTAGACCCTTTCCCAAAATGTGGTCAAATGGTATAGTGACACCAGCTAACTTTGAACCTTTTGCACAGGATTGTGATTATAATTCATTTAACAGAGCATTGTACTTGTTGTTAAAACTTCGTAGGATGTGTAGGAAATTCCAAGTTAGAACCATGCCTATTTGCAGTGAGATGAACTCTGTTCCCGATATATGTTTATTTCCCTGGTCTCACGATAACCTACCAACACCTCGGGATGTTCTCGAAATATTTAATGCACACGAAGTATTGGCTGAAGATATAGATGATGTTCATGTTGCAGAGGAGCTTGGCTATATGACAGGATTTCGTCCCAGTTATATTGAAACTGAAGTTGATTTTGAATTTTATACTCAGTCACTCAACAACACTTTCTCCAAGATTAAGAAGAAAAATCAATATGAAACACAACTGTTTCAGTGGCTACACAAGTTGTTTCAACCATCGTTAATGTTTTCTTGTGGTACACATTCCATTGAACCACAACTTTATTTCCATCTTACTGTCCTCTCACCAGGATGGGTTGGTGGTATTTTTACTATTGTACGTCTTAATATGTAGTTTAACATGCAGACCTGGAAAAAGTGGAATCTTGTTATCATGGATCCTACAGGACAACTGTCTTGGGGGTCGTCCATAATTATCTACATTTTCACAAGGGTACAAATTGTACATGTGAGGCAGGGAGGGGGGGGGGGGGGGGGGTGGGGGTAGGGTTAATGACTGATGTACTGTATGCCTTTTAAACCATTAATCCATGGGTACTCTAGCAGGCCAGGAATTCCTCTACACAGTAGTGATATGTGGGGGTATGGATATTTTTTGGAATGGCCCAATGTGTAAAATTCTACAACTATTTTGAAATACGGGAATAAATTGTACAAAGAAATTTCCCAAAATTTTTCAACACCAATTCTTGAAAAATTTACAATTACACCATGGCAAAAAACTGCCGTCATTGTCCAAAGCGACCCATGGCCTTTTCTTTTCAAACTATATCATGATAAAATGCCACCCCTGACATGATCTCTGTATGCTTGTGAAAAAATGTTGATATAAACAATGGATGATCCCAAGTGATAGGTCTCGTATATTTTATGGTAGAATCCTATAATCTGGTCCAGTTTATGATGATCAATAAATATACATTCAACATATAGTGTGTTTTGGTTCAGGAAATGCCGAAATGGTGCATACACGCTCAATACCATCAAGATTGGCTCACTATAAAACTGTTGGTTTCACCCACTTTGTAGTCAGTACACTTTATTGTGGCATAGCAATTATAGTCCTGGAAAACCCTGGATTTTTTAAATTATGAAGGTGTACGAACCCTGATAAAAAGATGTCTGGAGTATTAAGCTATTAATATTTATTTTCATTTCAAATGTACCTGTAAATCAGTTTTTACTTTATAACTATCAACCATATTGATTATTGTGATGGAAGTTGTGTGGGTTGATATTGGTCATATGTATATAGCCTAGGTAATCATTCAGCAAAACTACATCATTATTCTAGTTGATATACCAGTATATCAGAACAATTGCAGTTTTTAAAAGTTTTTTTAAAAGTAGCCATAACAATCTTGTTTTAAAATCTGTTTAACATCATTTCAATTATTTCAACCACCGGCACCGTTCAATGTCACGTTAATATAACAACCACAATTACCTATTTCAGTACTTCAAAATTATTAAGTCTATTAAGTATATAGGTTTTCATCCTGTCTAAAACTGTCTATGACTATGGCTCAAAATAACAGCCGATCAACGGTCAATGACCGTCCAACTTTTTTGTAATAGACCTGTCATATGTAATATGATTTGTTCGACGTCGGTCCAAGTGACCGGTCACACTATGACACTGCCACTCTAGGAACTTGATTTTTGACGTATTGTGGACTCGTTAAGTATTATGCCTGATCACTTAGCTTTGTAAAGGTTTTCGTGTTTGAATCTTGCCAAACCGATTTCGCCGAGAATGCCAGGGTTGGTAGCCGGCTTTCGCGCATGCACAAAGCCAAATGTCCTTTAAAAAGGGCCAAATTCTACTAAATATGGCCAAATTTCCTTTTTTTAAAAAAAGCCGGAAAAGAGCCAAATCTTATCAATCTTTTCGACTTACATTGGTCAGGTTATCTCTACTCTCTAGGGTTAGAGAAGTGCAGTATGTTGATAGAGAAAAAATTCAAATTTTAAAGCAAGTTTTGTCATTTTTCGGGACGGAGCTCTGCGAAGACATAGCTACAATGTTGTCATTGGTTAGTTTTTCAGCTTTACGATTGGCTGAATTCCTGAGATCGTATTGAGTGTCAATAAAATTGTGTTGATACACAATTCTTACATTCTTACATGTTGCTTTATGGTTTACGTTCCTTCATAATAAATTATACTAAAAAATAGTGAAAATTCCTGTCCGAGTTGATAAAAAAAAGCCAAAATAGAGCCAAAAGGCCAAACATTTTTTCAAGGCCAAACAAGAAATAAAAAAGCCAAAATCGAGTTATTTGGCCGCAAAAAGGCCAAGTTACCAACCCTGTTCTGAGAATGCTTTCTCCAAGATCAAACGACAACGCATCAGTAGCTTGTTTTTATGTGGTAGTTGTCCTGAGTTGACAGGTAAGAAATCGCGTTTGCCACCAGTAAAAAATGGAACGTAATGTAATGGTCACCGTGACCGGCGTATTTGTAACGTGGAACAATGAAATATTAGAAACTGTTTAAAAACGTTTCATTGCAGTAAATGTCTTAAAGAATGAGTCGTAGATAAATACGATGATTCTTTGCAGAAAAAGTACTACTTACGTTTCGAGCGAAGACTTTGCGTCTGAAAATTAGTAGCTACTAAGCACTTTTTATTTTCCAGGGGCCTGTTGTATAAAAAAATATTTTAAAGTTAACTACACTCTACATTTGAAGAGTAAAAGTTAATCACTATTAACTACACAGGGGTTTTAGAACTGCCCATATCAAATCAACAAGGTCAATTGGATAAAAGACTGTGAGGCAGTAGCGAAGCATCAGGTCATGCCGTATTGGACCTGAACAATCTCGTACCATGCAAGAGCCACTCACGATGGCTCTGGGTACGAGATTGATTCCTGAATAGCCGACTGGTTTTGAACCTTAGAAACCCAATTTTCGGAGTGAAATTTGGTTTTGTGCTTTATGCAGGCCTGATTCCACGCGCGCTTTTTCTCTGCGAAATGCGAATTATTTCGCCTGTTTCTTTTGAATTGCGACCACTCGAATAAATTATTTCTACTTGATTGCTCACAATTCAAAAGAAACAAGCGAAATATGTCGCATTTCGCCGAGAAAAAGCGCCCGTGGAATCAGGCCTTAATGAATGCTTATAATCATATACTAGACAGGGAGCGTGGAGCGATTCTATATACAGTATGAAGTGAATTCACGGGAATGTTACTAACCCTCCTAATGGAGGGTACGGGGGCATGCCCCCAAATGTACTTTACCCAGTTAGCTCCATATATATCTGGAGCGAGAACTCGAGTCCAATTAAAAAAGCCAGCTTCGTATTTTGACATCGATTTAAAGAATTACACTATGGTTTTATGAACTAATAACGTGGATACCGATAGGTCCGTTAGAAAAAACTGGATTCAGCTGGGGAAAATGGTATAAAAGCTGTTTACGACCATCAGAGCTATTGGACGTCAATGGTCGCCATTGACATTGACATTGTGGCATGGCTGGCTTTTCTCATACGTCGCCGAATGACTGAAGTTCTTGCTCTAGACTGTGGAGCTCACTGACTTGACCCAGTCACTTCACCCCGCTAATGACGTCACACGCATATCGAACTTAATTTCGAATTAAGATTGAAGAAGTTGTTGGCATAAAGTTTTTATTACTTCTTCTATAGACTGTGGCATCGTATAACAAAAGGAAATCCAAATTTGGCGTGCAATGGCTTAAAAAAATATTTGGCGAATTCTATTCTGTTGTAAAGTATATGCTTTATGTGTCATGTGGTACTGTGGTTAAAACCTGAAGGAGTATTGCTTCGGGAAAAAAGTCACCAAAAATCGCATATTTCCACCGATGGGAATTGATGTCAGATTTAAAGACAAAACTGTCAAAAGAAAATGCACATTTAATCAATGAGCTGTTCTGTTCCTTTACAAAATTTGCATATTTACTGTACAAATAATTTATTTTAATTTGAAAGTATTTGCGCTCCTACGAGGTAACATTTATTAAAATTCAAAACCTCGTGAGGCTAAATTTCAAAGCAAAGGGAAAATGTGCAAATCCTTTAAAAAGCTAAATGATTGCATGAACTTTACAACAGTCATATTTGACGAATTGTTACACTGTTCAACAGAGTGCACGCCATTGCACGCCAAATTCTGACTCGTCCCCAGTCGTCTCGTCTCTGTGAGCAAATTTGGTGAACAAGCTGAGCTAATTTTGACATCCTGTACTCCTGATACAAACCAATGCATGCTAATGTTTATTTAGTATCAATTTACATCTTGATGACAGGATACCCACGTCGCATCACTCATCGACATATGGGTACATGCATGTCTCTTGTCTATAGAGAGAAAAACAGCCTAACGTTTTGATCAAAAACCTTACCGGATGTAGTCTCGTCTACCTGCCTGATGTTTATGTATTTCAAAGTTGTTTTTAGTGAATAGTGATCTCGAAAACATGTGTTTTGATATTCAGTAAGTTGTGTTCATCTTAATTTAACTTTATAAACGTGTTGTCATAGTTACACACACAAAGATCTAAATCGCCGCAAAAACAGTGAGTTACAAAACCCACATTGCATGCAACAGGCAAACCAATGTTTGGCTTTATTTTCAGCCGTGCTTTCTGCGGTAAAACTAAAAGTGATTAAAATTTAATTATTCTCATTTGCATTTGTAAGCCACACATTTGAATGCTTGTCGATCACTTTGCATGTACAGTAACATCGTATTACGATCGTAAAATGATATAGTTTAACACTGCACGTATTGGCTTACTGCTGTCCAAAAGGGTGGAGAACGATAGTATCTCTGACGTGGAAAATGATAGTATCTAACGTGAAACACGCATGTTGAAGGTCCTAACATTTGATTTTTAAGACACAACAAGTCGACCGATGTACAACCGAGGATATTGAAGCTAATTAAAAGGTAGTCGCGTCGGTGCCCTGCTTCATGCTTATATTATTATAACTGATTTGAAGAAGCATCCAGCTGATATATTATATGAGGTAATTATAATACAAGCACAACGTATACGTAAAGCCAAAGTTTAGTAAAGGAAGCAATTTTGTTTTACAACATAAATCGTAATCACTACTGTCTGAATGTTGTCGTTGCGAATTGCCCCTGGGCAATTCAGTTGTAATTTGTTTATATATTTGATTTGCCGTTAGGATTTAAGTCCTATCAAAGATTAGCTTGGAAATGTAATGAGACAGAGTTGGGTTCTAAGTATTGAGACAGAGTTGGGTTCAAAGTCTGTTTGCGTAGGGGAAAGTTGGTTTCTTGAACGAGCTTCAAGGATGTATTTGAAAGGCAAATGAGTTAATACAGACTGGCTGGGTTTAATTCGCAATTCGTTCATATAAAATACAACCACACATCTGTCAGTTAAATCGTTCAGTACTAGTGCAACGGGTGCAATTTATATTTATTTATTCTGTACAAATGAAATTAGGCCTATAAGCAGTATTTCTAATAGTAATATCATAATATTATAGTCTATATATAAAGTGAAGGGAAGAAAGTTATTTATATATAGTCTATATAGTGTACGTCGTATTTAATTAATTATATTTTTTGTAAAATAGGTAGTCACACAACTACTCACTAATCCACTATACTCTACAGTTTATACTTATTACATTTGGTTTAGTGCATGGTATGTTCGACCTCTATGGTTAAACTGAGTCGGTTTCAAAATTGAGTGAAACTTGTTATAATTTAAAAACTCCTTTCATTCATGATCCGCTATTCTTTTCAGTTAATCAGCTTGTTGACTCGAGCTTATCACCTTAATGATATGTAGGCTATTTACATGCAAATTAATATAACTCTGAAGACTCGAGTGTAGGATAAGTAGAAACGGACATGGATATGTCTCGTTAGACAATACACAAAACAACGCATATACAAAACGTTCCGGCGTGTATTTATATAGTGTTGTCTACATATATATATATATTGGATTATTGGTGAAATATATATCGACGTAACAATAAACATTCGATATAGTTTGTTTCGTATTGTATCACTTTAGGTAGTCAACTAACCAATACCATGTGCTACCAAGTGTTGTTCTGTATTACTCTATTCATCACTCAATGGTTCATTATCGCACTACCAGAAAGAGATTGGTCAAGACAATATAAGAGTTATGACAAGGAATTCCATATTCTCTCAAAATATGAAGGCAAGTGTTTTATTTAGAACTGTGTCTGTGATATTAAAAACAAAGAAAGTTTAATTGAAAAGCTATAAAGCGGGATTTGGGAAACAAAAACACTGTATGTGGTATACGTGTGAATATTGGAGCCGCAATTCTAACAATCGTATAACTTCAATGAAGCTTCATATTATATAAAATATATTCTAGAACAAAAAATTGTGTTACTCTGGAAGTAAAGATATATTTTTTAAGCATCTAAATATAATGGGTAAAAAATTTTGTCTTTTTGAGTGATTTTCCTATATCATGCATACATGCATGCATGCAAAATTTCAACCGTAAAGTGATTTAACCAAAAAGATGGGAGAACCTATCACTTAAGCACCATCTATTATTTATATCACCGTCAATGCTATAGTGTGATGAATAGTTGTGGGAAACAAACTATTTATAAATTGAATCTATTAGTATGGTTTTCATTTCCCGAAATCTGAATAAAAACTCTTACGAATTGGAGATGTTTGTTTATAACATAACATCAGTGATACACTTATATTAGTCTTAAGTCAAGAGTTCAGTAAAAGTTTTAGTTTGATAAATAACATAAATTCAGAATATTTCAAAGTCAAAGTTTCATGTTAAAGTTTGATATATCTTTCGTTATCATGATGCCGTGATAGTCAAACTGTCAAGACAGGAAGGGGCGCAGGGATACCGCTGATCATATGATAAAGGCACAAGCATAAGCAAAGCCACAGGCTGGCCTCGGCACAAGCGTAGGCTAAAACGAAACAAAACATCTTTCAAACAAAAATACCTTCCGTTTTGTCTTTTTAAGTGACACTCAAAATTTTTTTATGTTTACTTCATCTTGTACTTATCTCGCTCATGCGAATTAGGCTATAATAATTTATTTAAATGCATGACCTAATTTACAGGTATTGCTAGAATATTCTATATATAAATATATATATATAATTACATACAGTACAAGGTATTGAAGAAACGAACATATATAAAGTGAAAGTGTCATTATAGTGATTTACACATCTATTTTATGGATAATATAGATCGTATTCGTAGTTTCTAAGTAAAGGTTTTTTTATGAAAGATTGGAAAACAATTGCAGTGTGATTTTCGCAATGAATTTGAAATTAGCTGCAGTCGTTTTTTATTACGTATTTTCCATGGGTTCGAGGCTATTTTCTCGCTCTGTTAAGCAGAGAGAGATAAATTTAGAGAATAGGTTAATGAGAACAAAGGCTAAGCTCACTGCCAATGACCAAAATTAATTAAAGAATTCATGAGCCACATTAATGTCGCTAACAGAGCAACAGTTTAACTTTGCATTGGTCATTATATCAAACTGTGTTAAACAAACAATTAGTTAAACAAATTAAAAGATCACGCGAGACCATTTGAGAATCGAGAAAATATACCATAACAGGCAAAGTCAAGAATTATGTTAACCAGCTGATGTTAACCGTAGAAAAAAAAGATAACGCTCATGGATGAAATATTTACTGTGCATGATAAATATTCAGTCAACTGACCCAAATATAAGATTATAAGAACGTACGTGTGACACTGTGACGTACTGACGTGCCTAGAAATGACGCTACAAGAGAAAATACGAAATATTTTGGTTTCCGGTGATTTCCCAGTTCCCACACATTTTGTTTCATATCCGTTTCCTAACATAGTGGCATAATTCTATCGCGAGTCAGTTCTTTTTCTATTCTATAATACTCTTATTAGTATTTAGTCTACCATATATAGGTAATATAGCTAGTTAATAAGAATAATATCAATGACCTTTTTACAAACCTGGATGTTTAGCACCAATTTAGAACCTTTAATTGCATGATATAGTAACATTTTTCAAGATTTATTCACCGGCCACGGAAAATTTTAGGTTTGCCCTGAGTTGCCCAAAAGGTCAATTGTACAGCTAATGAAATTAGGTTGTCCTGTGAAAGTCAAAATTCTGACAACCGCAAAACGTCAATCGCTAACTGAAGCCTAAGATATCTTTCTTTATATAAGTCTAGGTCATGCCTCCATCCATAGCAGACCGGCATAGAGCTTTTTTAGAAATCGAGATTTTGTGATTTTGAGTAGTTTAATCAATTTCTATATTTGAATTAGTTGTAAACAAAACAAGCTGGAAAATAATATGACATATGGCAGATAACGGACTTTCTTGGACATTTTCATTGTCATTTTATCATATTAAATTTTGGATTCTTATGTTTTGTAGATTTAAAATTACACGAGTTTAGCTCACCTTCAGCCAGCAATTTTACAACTTTATTTTTTTACAATGGTTCGCTTTTAGTTGGTGCTCGGTAAGTCTCACTAAATAGATCCGAATATATAGTACAAATATACTATTCAACATATATGGATTTATAATATGTGTCTTTTCATTGGTTGGGAGCTATAACACGTTTACACGCTGTGCGTCGCTGGGATTTGTCGGCCGATTTAGGATCCACTTTAATGGATATTTTAAACCTCTCAGAAGTATCACAATTCATGAACTAAGGCACAGAGTGCTTTTTTTGTATAGCTGATTGTAAATCTATTTCAGCCGCGCGAAAGCTCAGTTTTCTTACCCGACATTATGATGTCATCTGTGTGTCAGTGTATATGACTGAACAGACAACGACAAAATGTTATGTATTTTTGTAGAAATTCAATATTGATTATGAACACTACGACAAATATTGAAAATGTTACGGTTTGTATTCTTTTTGCTACATAGTGTGAACACGTTATCTTGCATGCTTGCTTCGTTTTCTTGAAAAAAACAACACGACAAAACAACCACGACAACGGCAACAACAACAACAACATGGCAACAACCACGACAACAACAACAACCACGACAACAACAGCGACAGTGACAACGACAACGACAACGACAATAACAATAACAATAACAATAACAATAACAATAACAATAACAATAACAATAACAATAACAATAACAATAACAATAACAATAACAATAACAATAACAATAACGACGACGACGACAACAAGAACAACAGCCACGACAAAAACAACCAAAACGACGACAGCAACAACAATAACAACCACGACGACAACGATGACGACAATACCAACAACCACGACGGAAAACAACCACGTCAGCAACAGGAACAACCTAGCTAACCGCACCTCAACCCCAATCTCTTAAAACCACCAGCTATACGCCGGGCTAACAATAATCAGAACAACGACACCAACACTAACACCAACAACGTACGACCACCACAACAACGACCGCAACAATGACGATACGACGACAACAACACCGACAACGGCAACAGCGAAACAGCGATGATAATTAACGACTGCAACAGAAATAACAAAAGACTTATCAAATTTCACTGATTTTTCAAGGAAATAAATTGGACGCCACTTGAATCTCAGCAGAAAAAGTTTTGTATCCTATCTGGCACTCCAGAGGTATGACCTATTGACATACCTGTTCTGAAAATGATGTTCCAACTGTATTTGCTAAAATTAGAATTTTTGGTTTAATTGCGCCCGCCCGAGGGAGCTTTAAAATGCTATTTTTCTGTCTCCTGGTGTCACAAAATGAACATTTTGCAGGTATATCGGTGTATTTTATGGATATTATGGGTGATTTTGTAAGTGTGCATGCTTCAGGTGTGCTTCAGTGACCTATATAGTTCAGTTTCAAAATGGCGGTTGCGTGATGAGTGGACAAATAATATTTCTGGCAATTTCGCTAAATCACCAAGGCAGCTGAAAGCTTTAATTAAACTGGTATATTAGTTTAATTAACATGCTATTCTGTTTCTTCTATACTTCCAAATTTTTTACGCTTATATAGGCTTTATGTGCAGAAGGCTGAACGCTAAGTTCAACGGAACCTCCACAGGCAAATAACTTCTACCAACAACAAGAATATGACATGTATTATGAACATTTTAATTTTGAGAACGGTTATATCTTGGTTGTATTGTTTATTGCGACTCCGGCGAAAACCGAATCACTATTTAAATATTGTATCAAAACACAATCCCAGCCAATGACGATAGTAAAATACAATAATTGTGAGTTTATCGGTCAAAATACAACTGAATTTCGATTATCTGGGGTTGGAGGGTGAAATAATATTAAACATCGATTCGATTTGTGCCAACATGAATATGGACATGGCCCCTTCTTTATACTGTGGTATTGATGATTCGGTAATGTTGGATCTGCACATGCAACATATTCTCAATGACTATGTCATCTGTAAAATTTTGCTCATTACTTTGGTTATCAGGAGCCAGGAGGTTATCAACGGCTATGCTCTTTTTTAATGATTTGCCCATGTGATATACCATTATTTACATAAAAAATAAAAATAAAGTAGATACGTTTGGGCTAGGAGTCTATAGAAACCTTGAACAGGCTTTTGGATTTAGACCCTTAGTGTAAAGTCTTGGTGCTAATATATATAGTTAAATTGTCATCATTAATTATAATGATTAATGTATAATGGATTGATGGTTATTGGTTGTGTCCCTGAAGAATATTGGAAACTGTTATTAGTTCTCTTGAAACATTCTCTATCCTAAAAGAAAAATATTTCAACCCAGAATACAATACTGACATAAAGCACAGTGGAAATTTGATGGAACACCAGATACTATATATCACATTATTATTTCACAATGATACTTAATTTACTTATCCCAAGCCTTCTGGGTGTGCAAGTGTGTACTATTTATACAGATGTGCAAGTGTGTACTATTACATTTGAAGTAGAACTGTTTACGATCTATAATTAATAATATATGCAACCAGATGACGATGTGCATGTGCAATATATGCACCCAGATATGCAAGTGTGTACTATTTATACATTTGAAGTACTGTAGAACTGCATACGATCTATAATTAAAGATGATGTCCACTCCGTTCTGCGCCTCAGTTCTGCTCATAACAAAGGGGGAACCCCAGATATAAACATTGCCCGAATTTTGCATCTTTCGAACTTATTTGAATTGAAACGTAGAGTTTATATTCATTTACAAGCATAGCGAACCAGAAAAATGTTAGATATTCAGTTAGTATATCATATTTTACAAATATAGCAGTTCAAAACGTAAACAAAGTTCGCACATGCGCACACGAGTGGACATCATCTTTAATAATATATACTGTAGACTAAACCAAGTATAATTAAAGTACTGGAGAAAAATCTTTCATTTCTGATTTGTATGTACAGTATTATATTGCTTTTTGCCAAAATGCCAAGGTTATAATGTGCTAACCACGCCTCATCAACTTCCTACATCACCCCAAGCAATTCTGTTGCTGCCCTTTACCGACGGAGCGAACGCCTTGAGCATGCGTCTTGTTTAATATAAAACTATATGGCTTGTATAGTCGTATAGACGTATGGCGAAACCGACTATACATGCATATGACGTTGACATAGATAAGACTTGTCATTCAACATAAATATCTGCAATATGTTTTGGCTTGGAAAAAATAATTATTGTTTTATTAGGTACATGCCTCTGAATTTATAGAATTTGTACCAATGGTCCGAGGTCTCAATTGTGTCTCAATATTTAGGACGAATGTTACAATTTTGTCAAAGTATTGGCTGTCTATGATAACAAACTCATGAGTTGTGGGACAAATTCACATTACCCAACATGCATGTGGAGAGAGGTAAGCAGGAAAACTACTATAAACGTAGCTAATTAACTATATTCATAATTTTCTCACTCGGAAAGTCGGATTACTAGTAATAATCAGTGCGAGAACTCCCTTCCGCGAAAATTTTAATTTACTACAGCCGGTCATTTTACGGTTGTTATTCTCGAGGTTCCGGATAAACACGAACCAGTGCATGTTGAAAAATTTCAGTTCTGTGCCAGAAATATGCACTTCCGCAAATACTCCACCTCACTGTATGTATAAGCGATCAAATTAAGCCACATCTCTCCGAATTCAATTTATTTGCCATCAAATACAAAAATATACTGTCACTTTAATATCTATCGGTTTATCAACATCTGCTGCACAATGCATGAAAGCCTACGTAAAAAAGCCATGATGCAATGCATCTGCTGCACAATGCATGAAAGCCATGTCAGCTACGCTTACAGAGACCAACCAATTAGGAAAACAAGCTATTTACATGACAAAACAAACACCTCAAAACTGTTCTTGTATTGTTTTAGATCGATACTCTCCAAATGGACAGCGGAACGTCAGCATTTTCCAGCCAAGGACTTGTCAGTGCAAATCCACATACAAAATCTGCATATACATTTTCAGGTTAGATTACTTAATATTTATTACTGTAAAGAAGTACTGCGAAAGCGCAAGAAACCGGACTTCCTCAGAAGTGCATGCATGAATATGTCCCTTCATTGCACATTATGCCAAGTTATAATTTCGTTAATTAAATCCTTACACGCTCGAAATAACGCTATAGATAATTGAGGGGTCTGTAGCATAACGGAAAACGGTATATGAGCAACCGAAACACGCTTACAATACCTTTACACACAGTGGCGGCGCCAGAGGGGGTGGGGGGGCGGCAAGGGGGGCAAATGCCCCCCCAAATGCCCCCACCCCCATTTCGTCCCCCGGGGGCGGTATTCCTAGGAATATCGCCCCCTTTTGAGAGGGGGGCGAATCTCCTGGGGGGGGGGGCAAAAGTCCTGTGACAACGGTGCATGGGCAAATAGCAGTACCTTTTTAAAAATTCTATCTTGCCTCCCCCCCAAAAAATATGAGTTTGCCCCTCAAATGCCCCCCCCCCCCCCAAATTCTGAGGCCTGGCGCCGCCACTGTTTACACATAGAACACCATAAAGTACCTTATATATATAGTTATAGCCTGCCCTAAACTACCTTAGTAAACCTTAGCATACCTTAGATTACCTTAGGGTACCTTAGAGTACCTTAGACTACCTTGGGGTACCTTAGACTACCTTAGACTAGCTTATAGGTACCTTATATACTACCTTTCGACTATCTTAGACTACCTTAGACAACCTTAGGGTACCCTATAGGCTACCTTATAGAATATAGACTATTTAAGTTAAGTACCCTTACCATTATATGATGACCTTGCATGGTTATAGCACTGTGAAATGTTAATGAGGTTCTTGAAGACATGTGAAGATGTTCTCACTGCAGAAAATACATCTACTTCTACACGGTCTTTTAATACACGATTTGTTATATGTCGTGATTTACAGTTTTGTACTAATTTGTTGGATTTTTGAGAAGGGGTATTCATTGAGACATTGACCCCTGGTCCTTTCGAGCCGCTGAAATTCGCTGACTGCTTTTTAGACGATGGACGATTTTTCTCTGCTGCCGCAATGGAGTTCGGCGGAAATGACAAAAGAATAATTAATACGGAATTTCATAACTTTCTACCTTACCGAATGCTCTTTACAAAGCAGAATAATCCATATTGGTTGGATGGTGAGTACTTTGAACTTAACTATTTGATTGTGTCATGCTAATTCTTTCTCCATATGCAGACACATGCACAAAAGCTATATCTTAAATAGTTTAATTGCAATGAAAACTGATAAAAATAGAAGAAATCAACACAGGCACCGGATCTTCAAAATTAAGTATAATCAAACGGCTTTATGAGATGTTATAAATGACATATTTTATTAATTGTTGGAAGATAAGAATTGAAGTTAAGTAGAAATGTAAGAACGTTGACGTCTTGTATGTGAATTGATCGACGTGCGTAATTGTTAGAAATTACTTTTATCACGAGTATATCAGATTTTTAATAACTTTGAACCAACATATTATTACAGTGTTATTTGCATTTCATAAATTTTTCTTCTTTTTAGATCCTGTCTTTCATCAAAGCTTTTCGATTGGAGATTACATTTATTTTTTCTTTGATGAGTTTGGTTTGGAATGCGCTGACTGTGATCCTGTACGATTCTCGAGAGTTTCGAGGATATGTAAGGTATGGAATTGAAAATGAATATTTTCCTTGTTTGTAGTTAAACATTCCAGTACCAAATCGTAGTCTACCACATGGCGACACAATTGAGAGTCTTTCTGAGCCGAGTGGTAAAGTTTTAATTGAATCCAGCAGTTGTACTGTACGAGGCAACGTATTCACAAAAAAAATCAAATGAAATGCATAGCATTGAAATAATATTTATAAAAATAAGTCATGACAATTAAATTGGATTTCCTATCCATTTCTGAGATAAAAAAAAAATTTGACGGACCGAGGTCTTATATAGTTTCTTTCAATGCGCTGAATTACAACATGGCTTTTTCATGCTTCTCCCACTACCACCTATAGTATTGTAGCACTTTAATTCTTTGCCCTTTCCTTTTCGGACTCTACATGGTCCCATTGTCCTTCATAATAAATGAAAACGAATGGCATGCACGTTTTAAGAGTATATTTTATTTCCAGGGCGATGATGGTGGAAACAATTTGGTGAACTGGATTAATTTTGTCACGTACCAGAAAGCAAGACTAAATTGTTCTTCAGAAGGAGAATACCGATATCATTTTAATAATATGCGTAAGTTTGTGGTTGGTTCTCTCTTCTGTTTCCAGGTTTTTCTCCGCTACTGAAAACTAACCCATTCACCTTGGCTGTGCTCCCTGCATGATCAGACATGAGCCAGCGGGACTTTTAGTAGCCCTTTGACTCGGTCATTCTCGGCCACGGGTCACGTAATTTGAGCTGCATTCTTTGTAATTCAGGCCTCGACTGCAAGTAAGAATGACTGCATATACCCTACCTTTACCCATTTGGTAAACTTATCAATTATGACTCATGCGACTGACGTCATAAATTCTTACAATTTCATTAAAGCCCGTTTTCCACTAGGCGAATTTGTTCGCGCGAAGCGAGTTACTCCTTTGTTGACACCGCTGTTGCTGACGTAAATAGCGATGTTTAGTAAAGAAAAAGTCGCTTCACGCGAATAAATTCGGGCATAAAACAGACGTTTATGCAGTTCATTATATTTTAGGAGATATATACTGGGACCCACAGAAAGAAATGTTTTATGGCATATTTTCGATGGAAAGTAGGTAAGAATGTCTAGCAGTTACAAATGTTATATTTTATATTAATTGTCTTAGCTTCCATTATATTTTTTGTTTTATATTATATTCTGTAATGCGATTTACATATTTTGTTTACACTTTGTTATGATTAAATCCATCTAATTGGTTTATTTTTTGTCACGTGATGCTTTCATACTCTTAGTATAAAAGCCCCTGCATTTTCCCCGATCCCTGCTACTAACTCTTGACGAAGCCGAAGGGCCTTCGCTCGAAACGTCGAGTTTCTGCTTGTTTATTTAATTCAGGTAGTAATATAACCACTCAGCACAGCAATTTATCATTATGATTACATTAGTATGATTACCTTATTACCATGGGATTACTATGACCATACATGTACACACCACTAACCCCAATTAAGTATTTTTATATTTATATATTGAACATTCGAGAATCAACATCCTTCAATTTTCGCATTTTTAAAAATAGAAAAACCAAAACATTTTAATCTGTCGACCGGTGTTCAATTTTCAATTGTTTTTGTTATTTGTTCAGCCCGGGTCAAAAGATGTCGGCTATTTGCTCGTATTCATTGAGTGAGATTGAAAAGGTGTTCTCCGGAAAAGTGAAGTACAAAGAAGGCAAAGTTTGGAGGGAAAGGAAGAACCCGGGCCACATAAAGGAGGTCAGTAATTTCTTTATGTAAGGCAAGTCATTTATACATATACATAATAAACCATGCAGTTGCACCTAAACAACTAATAAAAAAGTTTGCTTATAATGAAAGAAACTGGGATTTATTATTTCCTCTACTGAGCAGCGGTTCGTTTCAATTTGTCCTTCGGATGTCATACATTGATTAGCATTATTAATTCCTTTACACCAGTATGTTTCGTGTTCGTTTATTCTTTCTGACATGCGCAAAATTCAGTCATTAGGTTACTATAAAATATTATGTTAAGCATCGTGAAATTAATTATATAATTGTTTAGACATTTTTTTATTCTCATGAGAAGTAGATCTTGATAAAAAAAAACTTCGGATTGATAGGGATGGAACTACCTGAAAATACAATTTATACAAGGGGAACTTCGACGTTTCGAGCGAAGGCCCTTCGTCAGGGAGCATCTCCATGCAGTTCTTTGGAGAATATAACTAAAAATACTTGCCAATATTTTAGAAACAAATCGTTGCCGAAATTTACTAACAGTTCGTCTAATGCCGTATCATCCGTCAAGACGAAGCTAGCTAGTATACATTTATACACATATGACTGATTATCAGACGAACAGTCTTGTCATTGTCAAGTTGATCCTGATGGTTTATCCATCTCTCTTATATATGGGGGTAAACTAACTTAAAACGATACTAAATCTAATGTGCATGCTACTTTTTCTTACTTTCAGTGTACTGTCAATCCTGACTCCATTGCAATGTCTTCTTCGCCTTCTGGTAAAACGAGAATGAAAACAAAATCGATGAGCAGGAGTGCCTTGCAAGACCAAAATAAATGTATCTTGGCATCTGATGTTGCCCAAGCAAGCACAAAAATAACGCCATTTTATCTGGACAATATCAGGTAATTGGACATCATCATTGTGTTATTCACTATCCAGTAATCGGAATGTTCGATTGTCATCTATTCACTCATTGTTTTGTTATTTGTGACGTTGTGCGAGTTACTGATTTTAGACAATAGAGAGTTTGGCAGCCGACAACAGCAACAACAGCAGAAAACAGAATTACTTACGTTTTGTATGTTAGCCAAAGCATACATTATGCTAAACTTTATTTAGCTACCTCTTGAAGGTACTTACATTATCTTTCTTTACAAACAACCCTTTCTTTACAAACAACCCTTAGCGTGGTTTTGAGCCGTGAAATTGAAAATAACGTATCGTATATGGCAGTTTGAACACTGCCACGGCGTACTAGAATGTTCAAGGGAATACAATTTATAGTCGTCTTTGTTTTAAAGTAAAATTCAAAACCTTTTTGATCACGTCTTCATTGACGTTGTTGTTGTTGTTGTTGTTGTCGTCGTCGTCGTCGTCGTCGTCGTCGTCGTCGTCGTCGTCGTTGTGTTTCCCAAATTTACTAATTACCACTGACCAGTGAGTATAGGTCCACCCACACACCCATGACAACGCCACTTCTCGCCTTCGCGCCGTTGGCTTGGGGATCAAGTGGTAGAAAACCGATTTCTCAAATGTGACAAATGTAGGCAACCTGCTATCGCAAATCGCAAAAATGATTAGCATTAAAAGAAGCTATTTATTGGTTATCTTTTTTGTATAGGTTTCTTAAAGTGGTCGTGATACCAATTCATCTACCTGTGTCAAACTCCAACATTTCATCAAATAACACAGAAATATGGTATATAGCCACAGGTAAATATCTCAACTCATGTGTAACTATACTGCGCAACCAATCTCATGGAGCTAAAAGAATCTCGAAAGAGAAAGAAAGTTTCGTCATATTTCAATTGCAAACTGCCATCTAACTTGGCGGCGCTGACGTGACTTATTCACTAAAACTTTTACGATGAGCACAGATGGCAGGTGCGGTTAGCATGTTGTCCCTGCATGATTACCACTGAGATAGGACTACACACGTAAAAACGCACAAGTTGTAACAAGTCTGCAAACAAGTTGTTACAAGTCTGTTTACAAGCTGTCAACAAGTTGTGTTCGCACTGCTTGTTCCAAGTTTGTTGTAACAAGTTTGAAACAAGCTGTTACCAACTTGTAACAAGCTTGATGACATTGTCAGCCTAGTTACAAGACTGTGTTAACAAGTTTGTTACAGCCATGATATAACAAGGATGTTACAAGGTTGTCAACACAAGGTTGCAACAATGTTGTTATATCAAGCATGTAACGGACTTGTCAGAACAACCTTACAACAAGTCTGACAATTTCGACAAGTTGTCAACAAGTTGTTCCAAACCTGCTGACAACTTGTGACAAGCAGTGCGAATACATCTTGATGACGGTTTGTTCGCAGACTTGTTACAAGATGTGAGATTTTTACGTGTGTACTACTGTAGGTCGAGATTATGGAGTGTATTTACTTAGTTTACGTGATTGTTGTTGAGCACGTGTATCATTGGCTTTTGGCTCATGTGAATTGCGCGACCACATGCTATGTAATTGACATACACTTGTACTTGTGTAAATATCATTTTGGCTTGTTTTATCTTTGCCAGAAAATATTGATTGTTTCTCATTGTTTGATACATTAACTTTCTCTTAAGATCGACAGACTATTCTAAAACTTGGAAAGGTTCCTACCACTAAGGAGTTTTGTATTTTTGAAGAGTATAATTTATTTCCAGTAAGTGTTTTTCAATTTAATTGTTGTGCATGGAGGAAGATTTAATTAAGCTAACTGCCTCCATAACAAATCTAAATGGAGAAACTAAGCAGCTTTATTATATAAAGTATAGTGCTTTATAGAGATTTCGAGCACTGACAAAAGTGATAATCTCACATGTGAGATTATTTATGATAATCTCACATGTGAAAATTATTGCTTTTCAATTTTGGCTTTTGTGTAAAAATTATCGCTTTTCAAAGACTGTCCTTTATATAATAAACAGAAAAATACATGGGTGCTTGGAAACACCAGATTTATTTCTCGTGTTGAACATGATATCTCACTCGTTCGCTGCGCTCACATGTTCAACACGAGAAATAAATCTGGTATTTCCAAGCACCCATATATTATTCTCTATATAATTGTTCACTGATTACACGTGGCAAGTCACATTGGCGACGGAACAGTTTTTAGTTTGGGGGCGCTAATTTCCATAAAATTTTCCAACTTAAAAATTTAGCCCGGAAATGTTGGCGGCGGGGCGTTGGGGTATACCCCCCTTTCCTGTTCCGTCGTCACCGACAATTCACTTTCTGCGCTGAATCGGACGTTAATGCGGCTGTTTTCCATGATTCAACCTCGACAGCACACCATCCAAAACGTTAGATATAATTTGATATAATTTATTTGTTTTACCACCAATATTAATATTATACAAAAAAAAGCTTACACAACAACTTTACAAATGATTTTCAAAACATTTTTGAGAGTTGGTGATATTGATGGCAAGAGCCTAAAAAGAAACACAAGGCACTGAAATATTTAGTGCCAATAATACAACCAAGCTTTCATTGTTAGGGATGCAACTACCTAAGACATATAAGGAGAATTTCGCCGTTTCGAGCGAAGGCCCTTCGTCTGGAGTTACTGGTGTTGTTATATCAGACGAAGGGCCTTCGCTCGAAACGTCGAAATTCCCCTTATATTTTTTAGGTATATAATTGCATCCCTACCAACGAAAGCTTGTTTATATATGTTCACCAGTTCAAGAGGAAGATATAGTTAAATATTTTGGACCTTAGTCTTAGAACGTACCGAAAATTGTATGATATTTGTTCTACATGAAGGCAAATGGTCATTGAGGAAATTTCTTGTATTGAATGTGACATAAAATAAATTCCTACAGTACGTTACCGGATGCGGTCGAAGTGGAAAGTAGACTTTAGAAAATCAATTTATACCAGCTAGAGACTCTCAAAACAGTTTACTGACCTTGCAATATCAGTGTTTATCTGAACTCGAAACTAAATAAATTGGTCAGTATAGATATATATCATCATTATCTTTCCAAACTTTGTAGAATAATGAGATGAATGAAACAGAACAAATCAAAGGAATGATACTCTCTCCACAGAAGGTAATAGAAAGTAAAGATGATCATATGCATGCATGTCTAGCCTCTGCTGCATTCATGCGTCCAGTGCATGACAGTGTCTTCCTGCAGCAACAATGGACTAATATGGATTTTGTAATAGACCATATGGTTGAGTGGATATTACTAAAAAAAGATGGCCCTTAGGGGATTCCATGTGAGACACTGAAAAGCTATCAATTTTAAAATGCAATACTTCTTGCTAAATTTCAGAGAGCTTCTGCATTCTGCTACTACAGTACAACACACGTTTTCCCTTACAAAACGGATAAAACTGATTTGTTTATCATTTTGCATATTTTCATCTGCTACCAACTTCTCGAGAACGTTTTTCATTTCACATGCAGGAAATGAGAATTTGATTTGGCGACTTGAACATCGGGTTATATTTTTCGGGGTAATGTCAAAAATGCACTTTAAGAGGATATATCGTTTTTATAAAAGTGAGCAGGAAAGCGTTTTTGTGGCAATATTATAAGAAGGCACCTGAAGTAGCAAAAATGCATGATAAATTACATTTGCATATAGATTTTAGACGAGATTAAAATTATTCTTTTTGTCTCTAAATGTAATGTTCACAACGTGGAAATGCCCCTTACTGGACCTCTGTTAGAACTGTTAGACCTATCCAGGTTAGATAAGATAAGTTGCCTACTTGCCTTCTGTTGGTAATTCGCAATCTAAGAGCTTCTCATATTAATTTAAAAACATATACGATAAAGACACGGATTGTTAATACAGTCAGTGTAAATTATGTTTTTTTTAATTTTCTCTGTGATTTTCATGTGATTCTTCTTACTTATAAAGGATTACCTTCTCATTGGATCTAACACCAAACTAATTCGTTTATCATTAACAAATTGTGATAGATATACCAGCAAAAGGTTTGTTTTTCTATATACGAAGCTATGTGGTGTTATATCTTAGTTTTGATGAGAATGTTGTGAATTAATATATCTATAATGCAATGTCATAATATTCTGCCGTTAACGTTCATATTATTGGCACTACCTACACTGGCACAGACAGTTCAATCTTTTCAGTTTCACGTTCGTGATTTCAAGCAAGAACGGCTGTCGCCATCTTTAACGGTTTTAGTACGTGTTACATGCGTGTTGACAAAAACGCTTGCTTCTACTCTCTATGCACTCGGGGCGTTGCTCTCTAATAAAAGTGGGTGTACGTAATGATATACTCGGAGTTTTTCTCTCTAATGAAGAGGGTGCACTTGAGGGAACACTCGGGGCTTTGTTCTCTAATAAAGCAGAGTGCAATCAGGGGGTGCACTCAGGGCGTTGCTCTCTAATAAAATAGGGTGCACTTAATGATATACTCGGGGGGGGGGTTCTCTCTAATGAAGGGGGTGCACTTGAGGGTACACTCGGGGCTTTGTTCTCTAATAAAACAGAATGTAATCAGGGGGTGCATTCAGAGCGTTGCTCTCTAATAAAAGATGGTACACTTAATGATATACTCGGGGGTTTTCTCTCTAATGAAGGGGGTGCACTTGAGAATAAACTCGGGGCTTTGTTCTCTAATAAAACAGAATGTAATCAGGAGGTGCATTCAGAGCGTTGCTCTCTAATAAAAGAGGGTGCACTTGTGGGTGCACTCGCGGTTTTGCACTCTAATAACAGAGTGTGCTCTCGGGCTTTTACTGTATTCTCCAATAAAGGAAGGTGCACTCAGGGCATTGCCCTCTAACAAATGAGAGTTAATGTTGGGGCTTACTCGGTTAGCTAGAGATATGGGCAACTGGTGTTAGACAAAATATATAGTAATCTGGCGTTGACCTGAATAAGATAAAATAAAATAAAAGAAGGCGGATTGATCGTATTGCGGACTAATGGGCCAATCTAATAATTAACGCAACTGAACCTATGGTCTTTAACTTTCAGTTTTTGTCTAAGTGCACAAGATCCTCTATGTGGCTGGAGTGCTATTGAGAATAAATGCATTGGTTGGGATAAAGGGTTTGTATATATGTTGTTTATAAACTGATATTATATGATTATACATATCAATGTTATATCAGTGGAGTATACAAGATAGATGTTTACAAAAATTTGTGATATTACGTAGCCATTCATGCTTAAGTCAAATTTATGAAAGGTATATAATTTATACTGTGTTAGATTTTTAGTATGAATCTATGACATATTGCCTGAGAATTGCCTTGAAATATAGATCGATGGTTTTTTCTATTTATCAGAAACAAGAATGATTGGGAACAAAATTTTACGTCTTGCAAAGGACGACTGCAACGGCAAGGTAAACTATTTTGAAGAATATGAATACTATTAATAATTCGTGGTAAGTTTAATCATGTCGTAAATTTAATTCACGTTTGAATCACGAATGTGTGTTTGCCTTCGTTTGAATCAGTAATTGTAACCTGCCTTACTTTCATTCAACATGTAGTTTTTGTTATTAATTTAAAAGCAAATATAGTGATGTGATGTTAACTATGTTTCACAATTGAACAGTTTTAAAAGTTAGTATAGTAAGGTTTAACACAAGCTGTTTTAAAGTATCGACTTTTTTGGCAGAGCTCACCTACAATTCGCAAAATTGTAGGGGTAAATTTCCAGTCTAGTACCTAATAGTTGAAGAACTAAGTATTCAGCATTAAGCGTAGCCACCGGTAAGTGCGTGAGTAACCGATAGCTCTGACCATGGAAATGAGTTTGCTGTATATCTTGCCGGATTAGTTTTTTTCTTTTACTTTAGCTGAATGGTCTGCTTGGTCTTCGTGGTTTGAATGTAAAAATTCTGATGCTAACTTATGTAAATGCCGCAGAAGGAGCTGTCTATATGCTCGTCTATCTTACCAATGTCAAGGAGAAGACAATGAATTAGCAAACTGTACAGGTTTGTATAATTATTCTTTTTGGTTTTTAGTCTTAGTTTTTAGCGGTATTGTTCTTAGCTTTGTTTGCTTGTTTGCTTGTTTGGCTTGTTGTTCTTTCTTGATTTGTTTTTTATTTGATCGGTTGGGGGCCATTTACAAAGGATGTCCGGCCAAATGATGGATTTTCAGACCCCCCTCCCCCCTTGTCCGGCATTGTCCGAATTAGTGACCCCCCTCCCCCCGGACATCCGCCGTGCCTCGCAAAAACTCACGCAATCTTGTATATATCAAGAGTAAAAAACTTTTACTTTTAGAACTTTTTTATAACTGTAAATGTGAACACAAAAACATATAAATTACTAATTAGAACAAAATCTAGTGTTAACCGCATAGTCAAAATGCCAATTTCACAATGGGAAGGACTGCTCAAAATAGAGGGAAAAAAAATTTGTTTTTGAATTTTTTTAAATTTCGGACATCCGGATTGCTAAAACCCCCCTTCCCCCCCTATGTCCGAGTTTGTCCTGATTTTCCCCCCCCCCCCCCCCCCCCCTCGGTTCGGACATCCTTTGTGAATGGCCCCTTGGTTGTTCGTTTGTTTGGTGGCAAAAGATTTTAATAATTTTTACTATTGAAGTTTGATGTGAGCATATTATTGTTATGAAAAGGAAATTTCATCCGTTTAAAAGAAATTAAAATGCACGCAGAATAGAACCAGTAAAAATATATGAATCTGGTAACGGCGTAAAGCACTTAGACTGTATAATACGTTCAATTAAACTAAATTCAAAAACTAATCGAAACCACAAACAGGACAAATTCGTAATTTATATAAAAATTTTATAATTAAAATCCTGATTGATTAAACTTGATAAAAATCTATAAATTCCATAGCTGATGTGTCAACGCTAACAAACAAGGAACAATGGTGGATATATGGTGCTATTCATGGCGGTTGGTCCCAGTGGTCAGAATGGGCGGACTGTTTACGTGGGTATAAAAACAGAACGAGAACATGTTCAGATCCTGCTCCTGCAAATGGAGGATTATCTTGTACTGATACCAACATGGAGTATGTGTTGTGTGAACCAACCAGATGGGATGGTAAGTGAATATTGTTTTTGTTGTAATACATACATATATAATTCAAATAAATAGTGTGCTAGTGCCAAAATTCCCGACCGACAAACGTCGACCTCTAAGCATAGAGATTATAAAAGAATAGAGTGGGCATTGCAGGAAAATAACGCTCTCTGATTGGTTAAAATCTCGTTGCCTGGATGTAAATTCTCATTCAGGAGGAGCGGGAAATTACGAAAATAATACAACTTTGAAAACATCGATCTTTTCAAGCATGGACTAAAAGCAAAAAAATCAACAAGTATACCTGGACTTCAATACGAAACGGGTTTTGGTTTTTTTCCGTAAGGGGAAAAAGCACAATGAATGTGATTGTGCTTAGAGATCGAGGATTTGAGTTTCAAAGGGCATCCCTAATTGAATTAGTTATATACAAGATATTTAAACTGAACCTAAACTGGGTGTAATGTTATGCATAATTGTTCTGTTGAAACATCTAACTATTCATTTATTAATTTATTAATATTATTATAATTGTGCATAATGGGAGCATCCATCGTTGGAACAGATGTAGTGATGAAGTCACCTTGTTAAATCCCCATGGGGACACATGGAGGGACAGCAATTAATAACGGCTTGTACAGTATAACATTACTGTACTGTATGCGTTGTTCAAAAAAAAAATATTACAACATGGTTCAATAAAACCCCTACGGTTTTTGTTTGGATCGTGAGACTTATTAACGAATAATTTAAACTATTTACAGTCATTTAAATTAATGCAAATAAGGAAATGAATTCCAATTAAAATTAATTAGCTGCTGAAACATATCTGTGGACAAGTTGGACAAGAGTTCGAGGTCCAGAGAGGAGAGTTACAAGGTATAAAATATCATGTACATCAAAATCAGTGGTTATGAAAAGTTTACAACTGCGTGTGTTACGCAATGAAACGATGAATTGCACGAAGGAACTTTGCATTGGTAAGTTAAAAATGGAAACAATATTTCAGCAAACATTTTTTGTCCAAGGCGTGGTCTGTAGTAAGGTCGATTATGGGGATTTTCTCCAATCTTGAAGGCGCACAACCTCACAACCACACGAACCCAGGTTTCCGCTCCCCCTCTTGAAACACGACTCAGGTTAATAAGACTTGCTTATACGAATTATCATAGCCTGTAGGGTGGTAGAGTTTTCAAGTTTAAGCAAAAAACATTTCAGCCATTACATTCGTTGCAAATCAAAAGGTCTTTTGTGACCCAACATGGGAAATTATATTTTATGGAAACAGTGTTAATTAAAATAGTGGGAGAAAATGTCAAAACTTCATCAAAGTGTCTTTTACGTGTATGCTTGCCACATATTACTTTTTTTGCACTGAATTACATTTTTTGGTGCTGTAGCACAGCACAATAAAGTTGCACTTGCTTGAGTAAATTTTTATGTATATCATTATCCACAAAACAAAATAATTCTATTTATTTTCGCCATGAAAACCGACAAGAAACTTCTTAATCAATTTCTATATATTCTCTGAACAAAATTCAAATTTATATGGAAAAACGTTTTCTCCACAACAGATCCTCCTAAAGTGAAAAAAGAACAACGTATTCTTACAAACTGGAGTTCATGGTTACATTGCAACGAAACAACAGAGAAACTTCGTACACGTCATCTTTGTGTTAAAAATTCATCAAGCCAATATTGGACGTGTAATGACTTCGGTGTAGAGAGAATTGACCATCCTGTTACAACAACAGACCATCCTGTTACAACAACAGCCACATCTACTGTCAACCCTACAACTGGCATATCAACTTTAGACTCTACAACTAATCCGAGCTCTGAAACAAGTACATCTGAAATAACGACGAAATCTCAGACTAGTTCTACTTTAAGCACCACAGAGCAGAGTACTTTGCCAAGCACACCAAATGTTGGATGCAGAGTAACTACATCTGGAACAGTTCCAAGCACAGCGACCTCTACAGATGGTAGTTCTAGTACAACATCGACTACAACCATTGCGACTGAAAACGCTACCACGAGTTATAGCGAAAAAACCACTGATTCTGTGTCATCAACAACGGCTACTGAAGTAACCACACCTACAGGTATAGTAATGTACAGGTCATGCTAAGTATGTATATCTCCTATATCCATTTTGATATGTTGTAATTCTCTATATTCAGGGGTCTTAGAACTAGGGGGGGGGGGGAGTTGTCCCGATGTCCCCCACTCAAGGCCATTGGTAGCAAACAAATGCCTTCACTACAGATGCGTTGCTCATTCAATGCGATATTTATCCAGTCCCGACCAAAACCATTTTTCACCAGATAGCTACTAAGGGACCGGTCATTATTTAAGCGGGGGTGGCACCGAAGAGAAAAGGGTTGGGTAAACATAAAAAAATTTGGAGTGAGTAAAAGGGTGGCTAAATAAATAAATAAAAAACAAAACAACTCAATGGTTGGGTAATAAAAATTTATTGTCATTTCCGAAGCATGACACACTCAAATATCGAAGACTAAAAAGACTCAAATATCGAAGACTAAAAAGAAATTTCAACAGTCAATACAATACGCAAATCAATCAGAGTCACTATCTTGATAATTTTGTTTCGTGTCACAGAAGTGGGAAAGGACATGTGTGACAACTGAATGGTATATCATTTTATAAAGGTTTTGGCCATGGGTGGGTATTTATTTTTAATTGATATTTGGGGTTGGGTTAAAATTTTTTTTGACTTTTTAATGGTTGGATCAGCAAAATATTTACCAAGAAAAGCATTTCTCTTCGATGTCACCCCTGCCAAAAATAATGACCGTTCTCTAATCGGGAATTTTTCCTACTCTGCATGAAATTTGGTGTTCCTTGAGGAATTGCCCCGCAGCCTTGAGCTTCCTTAGGCATGCCTTTATTTATGCACTCCTTTATTTACTTGCACCAAATACATGTCTGCAACATGCAATGAAATTATAGCTGCATGCCGGTTGACCTCTTAATGAAATCACCTATTCTTTAATCAATTCAGAAATTATCACAACCTGCCATGCTATTCTATTACAGTCAAACCAGATATTCCTACAAAATCACCTGAATGGTCTCAATGGTCAGTTTGTTTATGCAATCATGAAGTAGTTCTATCAAATAGATCACGTGGTATACAACATAGAACTTTAGAACGAAAGAAAGGTAGTCAAGCTGAATACAGAACATGTCCATGCGAAGGTAATACCTCTTTAAAATCTAACTAAAAACAACGGTATTTCATAGGTAATTTTGTTTTGAATTTGGTACCATGCATATACTCAAAGCAAAAAGATTTTTTATACCAAATGTAGCGATAATTTCCATCTACAAGACCCTTCAACTATTATTTAATCGAGTGAGATGTCAATAAAATCTTGATATAGTTTGTCAATATATGATGGTCTGGAATCTCGACAAACTTCAATGCAGGGTTCGAAATAACGGTTCGTGATTCGTGAATCACGAATCATTTTTCATTTTTCACGAACCCAATTTCATAGAAATTGATCAAAATCACGAATCAAAAGTCTCTCAAATTGATAAAAATATACAATAATAAATTCAGTTCTTTGTAAATGTGATAAAGGATCATATATTCTGAAGATATTGTTGTTAGATTGTACTTAAAAACAATTATAATCCACCCAAAATTCTATTTCTTTGCGAGTTTGCGATGTATATTATATATTTGAAAATTGCAGTGCTTCCACTTTTTAACTTCCAATTAGAGAAAATTCCTTGAAAATTCCTTAAAATTTCCTTAAAATAAAAAAATTAATTCACGAACCATTTTTTCAGAATTAATTCGAACCCTGCAATGCCACAAAATGGAAGATGCACAAATCCTTTGTCCTTCCTTCCAGACGATAGATCAGGGTTAGAATTAGGTTATAGCATTGAGATTAGCATAAAATTAGGGTGTGCATTAGGTATAGCATTCTGGGAATTACAGGAATACAGTGAAATCGTTATATTTACACTGAACCAGACGTTTCACGATTTACGAACTTGAATGTTATTCCTACAATTGGACATGTTATGTTCACAGTCATTATCTGGGGAATATCATTCCATATATTGATATACTAAAAAGCCAATATAAACTTGCAATTGGGCTCTCTCTACACACGTAAAAACGCACAAGTTTGTTACAAGTCTGTTCACAAGCTGTTAACAAGATGTATTCGCACTGCTTGTCACAAGTTGTCAACAGGTTTGGAACAACTTGTTGACAACTTGTAACAACCTTGTCGAAATTATCAAACTTGTTGCATGGTTGTTCTGACAAGTCTGTGACAAGTCTGTGACATGCTTGATATAACAAGATTGTTACAACCTTGTGTTGACAACCTTGTAACATCCTTGTTATATCATAGCTGTAACAAACTTGTTAGCACAATCTTGTAACAAGGCTGATAATGCCATCAAGCTTGTTACAAGTTGTCAACAGCTTGTTTCAAACTTGTTACAACAAACTGGGAACAAGCAGTGCGAGCACAACTTGTTGACAGCTTGTGAATAAACGTGTAACAACTTGTTTGCAGACTTGTTACAACTTGTGCGTTTTTACGTGTGTAGACTCTAGTTGATCCCATAGCTCGAGTGTCTGCCGTCTGCCCGTTTCGCTGAATATATGCAGGTATACAGACAAATACAACATAATGGTGCAACTTTGTATAACAATAGTAAGGTTTGGTTATATACGGTTTGCCAAGAGGAATAATTTAAAATTATATGAAACTATAACTAATTTTAAATCATAATGAAGAAATTAACCAATTAATTAATTAAAATATTAGTCAAAATTAACAAAACTAATCTACATTAAACAATAATTCATATTTCAGATGAACCAGACTAACTCTATTCTACTAATCAAGGTAAATTAAACTTAACCCATAATCTAGTTCACTAAATTATAGTTGGATAAATTACTGATAAAATTAAATTAATATAAATTCGTATATCTATTAATTATCTAACATAGAACTACTTTTAAAAATATTAAAAACTTTTTAAATAATGCATATATATATACATAGATATTTCTAGACCTAAAATAAACGAGCAAATAAAACATTAATTGGGTAGGTTAACAAATTAGGTATAGTTGCATTTGTGCATCATCACTTATAATATATCTCTTAACTGATATCGTGCAAGGAATTGACTTTTCCAGCAATATGACGCCATCTTGATATTGCATTGTATTGCGGTGTTAATTAAATGAAATACTTTAGGCCCGTTACACTTGCAAATTTGCTGCGATTTCCTTAGTGCGATTTTCTTTTTCTGATGGATTTGAACGAGTGGATGGATTATGAATGATGGGTGAGGACACAGATAAGGACAGATGCATGTACTCAGAATATTCATGACTCATCTACTTGTTCACTTACTTAGGTCCCTGTGCTTTAAAACTCATGTAAGTTGAGTTTGGTTGTTTCTCTCCTCTGAGCTTCGATGTTTTCCCAGGGTGCTTTGTTTTTCTACCTTACCGAAAAACTAAACCTTAGGCCTGCAATCGATATTGAATAAATAATTATTTAGCTACTTATTATTTATTAATTTAAATGTTGCCGATTTGTTTTTCAAGAGCCTCTTGATATTAGTAAAAACTGTTCAGAATGATCTTAAAGACTTAATCCTTGCGGTAATAACAACATCTAGAATGTCTTTTGGGCTAATATTCTTAGTGCCGACGTATCCATAGTAATTAATTACCGCGCATAACTGATAGCGATAGCCCCAATCTATAAAATGCCACCTAAACTACGTCTGGTAGTCACTACGTCCACATTTTAAACCGTGACAAGTGGTGGTATGTAAATTGGCTCAGTGTGTATAGACCCCTTGCATGATGACGTCATTTTACTACAAGTAATAAAACAGATGCAAGTAAAGAGGGGCCTGTACCGGTTTTGCGGGATGGCGGGATGCGTCGAAAAATCAAATGGGATTCGGGATTTTAAGAGAAATATTGGCGGGAAGCGGGATTTTATTCCATCGCGGGAAGTGGGATTAATAAAAATACCATGGCGATATGCGGGAAGTACCTCACGAATAGCGGGATAAAACAACAAAACTTGTAGCCGTGCGTTAGCTGATCTATTGTCATTTGTTTGTGTGCTCGAAATTTACTGTTTTCAAGGATGATTGATATCGAACATTTGTCCTCCTCCAATCCTCCATTTACATGTATGATTGCTGCTTTCATAAGAGTCGCGATTTAGAGTCATTTATTATTTTGAAACTTGCATGGCGGGATAACGGGATTTGAAGTGAAAATCGGGCGGGATGACGGGATTTCCGAACCTGGTACAGGCCCCTCAGTAAAAATATGATGTTTCAAGTAAAAATATTGAAATTTTAAATTTAAACCTCGCACCATCTTGGAGTAAACGGCAAATATGTCACATAAATTTTTATTTTTGCTCAAAACCTATTTTGAAAAAAATACCAAGTTTTATGGGCAATGAACAACATTTGACATCATCAGCAAACTACATTAATTTGTCCTCCAAATTAATTAGATCCGGTTTCTCATTCTAAATTTCATTCATTCCTGATGAAACTTGGCGTGCACAACATCATGTTTCTTGTGATTTCAATGCAAAGTTTTAACCCTTTTCAACCATCCCGTCCACCTCAAGCTGTTTTAGAGTTAGCTATTATATTATTTATAGTTAGCTATACAAAAATTGGTGTTTCAGAAGTGACCAAAAAGTGATTAATATAGTTTCATACAACCGGGTCCTTGAGATGTTATGTCATTTATTATTGCCATGCAATATTATTATTTATTAACAGTAAATGAAGTAATATCCTTTTCTTTATACTTCTATTTACCTTTCATATTTCAGCTGGACCTTCTACAGATGAACCAGAAGTGAATGTTGAAGTTCGGTATGATGATGATAACAACATTGGACAATTTTCCTTAACAACGCTGATTATTATCGTCAGTATTTGTTCAGTTATATGCATCATAATCACTATCATTGTCGCTGTTGTATGGCACCGTAAGAAAGCTAAAAGTAAACGTATACCTAATAACAACAGTAGCACTTTCAAAAGTAACGATAAATACATACCAGTGAATGGGTTTGCAACAACTGGTGTATGACCAAAAGATAACCTATATATAATATGCATAATACCATTGGTATTTTAAATTAGACGCTTTCCGAACTTGCTGAATGCTGGCTACCAATGAAAACTACTTATTTACAATGGTTCGTCGGAAGTGTCTATATACGGCATAAAAAAGCACATAAGGCCACATAAACTAATAAATTTCTTGATTCTCATCACTGCACTTTGAAAATGTCGAAGAGGCGGGAGGTTCAGTATATTTTATATTTTATATTTATATAATTTATATACCGATAAATAAAATATTTCTGTGATTTCCGAAGTAAAGTGTCGCAAACCGAAATAAACATGTTACATTACACATTTCTGTAATCTCCAACGTATCTTCACGAACAATGACTGAACCCTTGAACTGAATGCGAAGTTCTTTTAAAATGCAATGAAATTTATTTCAGGGTTTTGTTTGTTTGAAATTGGCCGAGTTTAAAATGGCACTACAGGGTGTATCAAAAAAAGCGCAATCCTCGATTGAAATGTAAATTGCTAAACAAATAATAGACGAAAACGTTAAAGTTTACATTCATTTTAAAGCGTAGCCACTCAGCTTTCTAACAGTGGGTGGTTTCTTAAATTTGACTCATTGGTTCGCGGGTAATAATACTTTACGTTATTGCGATTGGAGATTAAAAAAATTGAGATGCAATAACAAATCGTTCTCATGAAAATAACTGATTTTTTCATTAAAACAAAAAAATGTTGCATTTTATTAAATGGATTGTGACAATAAGTATAATTACGGCTTTTCTTCCACTATTTTTAACTCAGTTTGAAACTTCAAATGCGATATAATTTTGGCTTGGACCATCTAAGCTGACTGACATCAACTTGCTATAATTTCTGTTTACATTACATCGCAATTCGATGACACTCTGGCTCAGACACCAGAATGTTTTAACGATTTTTAGCATTCGTTTAGGATTTTCAAACAACCTGGTCTCTTTTAAAATACTTTTAATTTGTTCTTACGTGGTTTTCCAGATGTAGTGACGACAACATTAAAGTTTAGAGAAGAAAATTCTAACATTTACACCGACTAAACAATAACATAGTAAACTTGCATAATTAAACAGCAACTAAAAATGGTAGGTTTTACTAAATCTTTTCCTGTGCAATTATTACTAGCATTGGAGACAAGGATAATAGTTTGTTTGAAAGAGAAAAGAACAGGCTTTGAAGTAAGCCTAAAAGCGTTTAACTAGAAATAGTATTTCGAAAGTTATTAAGCACAAAAGATGAATTGCGTTTATTTTGATACACCCTGTATAAACCCAATATAAAATATAAAAAACTTAATTGTCTTGAAATATTTTGTCGGTCGGTACATTTATATTGTAGCTATAACGAAATATAAAAAACGAGGCTCTTTATAAAATACAGTCGGGCGGTGATGAGAATCAAGGAATTTATTTTATGTGGCCTAAGTTCTCTTATATTTCAATGTGGAATAGTTTTACTATTTTTAGCTACCTCCAAGGTTCGAAAAATTTCGGTGGCTCTATCTAAATTATGTAACCGAATGAATACATGATTTTTAGAGAGCTGACAGTGAATCCATCAAATTCCTAAGCCTATATAGAGCATGTACACCATGGGGCCAGGAAATTTATGAATTCGAGTAAATTTCGAGTCGAGTTCAAATCGAGCAAATCGAGTTATAACAGAATTCAAGCTGCATGCGATTAGGTTTAGAGTTTGGGGTTGGTTCAGGGTTTAGGCCCATATATTATTTTGTTCACGCGAAGCGACTTTTTCCTTTGTCAAAATTGCTCAACATGAGCTTCACCTTTGAATTTACTATTCAAAGGTTGAGCCCTTATCTCTTCTGTGGTTGAGCTCATGCTAGAATTGCTTTAGCTGATGTGATAAGTGATGCCGACAAATGAAAAAGTCGCTTCGTGCGAACAAATTCGCCTAGTGGAAAACGAGCTTTAGGGTTAGAGATTATGGGTAGTAGGTAGGTGTTACAGTTAGAAGGAGACGATTGGTGAGATTAAAAAAGTTTTCGTATTTTTTTTTGATAATATTTATTTTATTACGCCTCGTAGGCTTAACTCGAAGTTAAACTGGAACAAGATATCAACTCCGGCAGGGCCGCCGAGAGGGGGGGGCAGGGGGCGGGGGGCAAATTGCCCTGAGGTTCTGGGGGCCCCTAGAAATTTTTTGTTGGGCCCCAGTCATTTTTTTGCGCGAAATATTACCGTTTTTGGCCGAAATATTTGTGTTTTTCTGCGGCAAAGAACCAAAATTTGGTTTGAAATTTTTGCAGGAAATTCCCACAAAAGCATTTACAACGTACTCGTACGGAAACATTTTTTGAATAGGGCCCCCTAAGAAAAATTTGCCGGGCCCCCGCCAAGCTCTCGGCGGCCCTGTCAACTCGAGACGAACTCGAACTATATATATATATATATATATATATATATATATATATATATATATATATATATATATATATATATATATATATATATATATATATATATATAATATATATATATATATATATATATATATATATATATATATATATATATATATATATATATATATATATATATATATATATATATATATATATATATATATATACCATACGAAGCATTTAATTTGTATACTTATGTGCATGGTTTCTGATATACTTTTATCGCCAGATAATGCCGTGCTAATGAAAGAGAACAAATTATTATATTAAAACAGAGCCAGAAGATGTGCAATAAGCCTTAAATTACAAAACTGTTGTTACGATAAATGTATTGGTACACCTAGTAAAAATTGTTCCGCCGAAGTAAAAATTCCAATTCATATAATACTTTAAAATATTATTTATATATAGGTTAGTGTTTAACAGTCTTGTATATTCTTGTATGTATAATATTTGAACTGTAAATTATTCTAAATTTTATATTTTAGTGTTTCCTTGTAAGAAAATTTTATATTCTAGTTTATTTGATCTTTTAGACTAAAGAACTATATTATTAGTTCAATATTATTATATTGAACAGTATACAAATAATGAATGTTTATGAGTGCAATGATAAGAATATTTTCATGAGGTGAAAGATGGAATGTTCCATTCAACGAGGCGACAGTCGAGTTGAATGGAACATTCCATCTTTCACGGAATGAAAATATTCTTACCATTGCACGAAGAAACATTCATTATTTGTTTTATATAATACCAAAATAGACTAATAGATTCGTATAAGAAGCATTTTGAGGGATGCGATTTATCGAAAACACAAAGAGTGCAATTGTACTATACGTTTTATTCCATTGCACTCGCGGAGAGTGCAATGGAACGTGTTCCATGCACTCTTGGGAAATGGAATTTTCTATTCAATATCACGTGACCATAAACAGCCAATTAAACGATTAGAATTTAATAAGGTATTATATAATTCACATTATTGAACGCAACTCACAAGTCGAATTATTACAAAATTCATGTAGTAAGAAATATATTCAAATTAAAGTAAAAATTAAATTTCAATGTGTTCTTTCGATACTGTACACCTGTGTGGATTTCTGACTCGGTTATAATATATGAAATAATACTCATATATATGGGTTCGGTGCACATGTATATATCTGGCAATTAGCGACAATTACTTGGAACTATTTTCTTGATAATATATATAGTGTATATTTTCTAAAGTCTATTTAAAGAGTGCGTCAAAGCTGCTTTGTTTCCAAATCGTTGACTAATATATAAACTAGACTATAGAGGGCACTCAGATATTCCACACAAGCACACACCTCCACCAGAGAAAATCATGCATAAATAAATGCATGCACTACACTGTTAATTTAACGCTGGTGGAGTTATTTTGAACCCAATTAATTTACTACACATGTGGAGTTAATTAAATTAACTTCTTGCAATTAACAGGGTAATTACGCATTGAATTCCAGTTTCAAGCCCAAAAAAGCACGACAAAGTTTTGTACATTTCTCATTCATTATTTTCATGCAAATTGGACCAAAATTTGATCGATTGGTCCTTCGCTACGGCCATTCGCACCATTTCCTCCAAATTTGCTCTACATTTGCATGGACGCCATTTTCCATCTTTTTTCGAGTATATAAAGGACTGTAGGATTGAACGCCTATACAGATTCTTCATAATGTTCCATATTTGTCCTTTTGCCCAACATTAAACCATTGTGGCCATTATTAAAAGTGGTAAATATTAACCCCAGGCCCAGATCTAACCTCCTCACTTAACCAAATAAATCGTTTTTACACATTATAGTCTCCAGTATGAGTACAAATATTCTATGTTGGCTTATATCGTATGAGACTAATTTTCATGTTTGTTTCTCGCTTGTTTGAAATTGACAGGAATAAAACTGATAGTTACTACGATTTATATTAGATTTCGTGCATGCTAATCATCTATGATGCTAATACAATACTATCGTTTCCATAGCAACACCCTTAAATCATCGATCTTGGCTTCTAGACAACATCTTAGATTAATATATACCAAAAATGCACAATATAATATGACGTTCATTCATTCCTAGCATTATTATATATAAGTCTAGTGTTTATTAATCAGTCGGCTAAATGTGTTGCAGTAACCAACACAGTAACTAAGGTAATTTTAAGTAGCTGAGAGGAATTGGTTTGGAGACATTCACTTCTTAGTCTTGCCATTCATTTATTGGAAATGAAGAATCTGTGTGTTTATTGGATTTTGATCTTCTTGTACAAAGGTAAGACGAAATTGACCGTAAATGCATTTACCATGCATTATTAAATGCCGTAGTTTTTATCAGCTTGGGAGGCAATACAATGTCGGTGGACAGGTATGCATGCTCCACAAGTGACTATGAGCCTCCGTTCACATGGAACTGGATGAATTTGGAACCTTACTCAAATTTGCACGATTTCGCCTTCAGATGGGACACTTAAATGGACAGGACGAATTTTCGTACCGTCACGCGAATTCGTCCAATCTCGTGTGAACCGAGGTCTGAGAGAAACTATGAAAACGCCAAATTCCGTGCTCAAATTTTCTTAGTTTTTCTCATTCCGGGACTTTTTAAAATCCAGAATCCTTCCATTTTTCTTCTTTGCATCCCGTTTCCATTTACCATAATAAATGTAATCCAACATGGTTCTCCCGTAAGGCATGAGGTAGAAAAGAATCTGCAAATCGGCTGTTACATATTCGAATTGAACTGTTAGATCGAATATAGAAGCAAATACACACAACTTCACGCATTTGACTAGGCCTTTAAGTTTAGTTCATCGACGATCTGATAAGAGCATGCAGGATCAGTATCATAATTAAAAGTTTATTAAAAACAATATAGAAAATTAATTCTTGATATTTGCTAGGCACTTATCGCTTTGATCATACATCTAAAACCGCATTCAATTTAAAATCTTCCAGGGATTGAACTTGCAACAGTTGGAAGATTTAGATAATTTCTAGAATTCTTCCGTATAGCTGCTGTCTTGCACAAATAAAATTTGCTTCCCAGGAAGCAAAAATGTTTCTCAGCATTTCACCTTTGTTTCCTAACGATTTGATCTTTGTTGTGGAAACAATATTTTCTATCATAGCCGAATACAGTTTAGAAGACGATTTTCCGTCTAAGATTGACCAAGTTAGTCTAAAAGCATACTAATTTCCTATTCTATGTTTGAAATTAGCGGCGATGCAGGCTAAATCAAATTTTACCAAAATTTTACCAAAAAATCTCATTACTAATATTTTTCCAAAATTGACGAAATTTTACCAAAACCTTAATATTTTACGGATCTGATCACACTGCTTGGACGTTAATAATCCGTTATTATAGGCTATAAGGCGCGGATAAATCAGGAAAGAATTGAGCTAATAACATCGATAATTTTCGTTCAAAATTTTTATCAGATGGTCAAGACGGAAATCCGTCTTCTAATACGAATTCGGCTGATGTTTCCAACAGCTTGCTTGAACAACCCCCAGAAAAATGTATTCCTAGCACATGAAATAATTTTCCGCAACAATGTTCCCTATAGCTTACAGGAAAGCATGCGTAATGGAATGTTGAAAGTGAAGATAAAAGTGAGCTGATAACATACAATCTTGGGCAAACGTTCGTAGATCGACTAAATATATTTTGTTTTCTTATATATTTTGTGGCATTTTATAAGTATAGCAACTAGGTTTCTACGGGGTTAATGCAGGTGGCGAACCGAAACAAAACCTTTTTAAAGATACCTTCAAAACACAGGGAATTTCTACTGCAGAAAGGCCCATTCGCCATTCAGGGTTTTCCATTAAGACCCCGTTCAGACGATACCGGCAGAGTTTGAAAACGGAACAAAATTCTTACGTTTAGGGGTTGCGTTCACACGATGCTGGTATGAAAAAATGTGAAACCGTAACGCTAACCGTAAGAGTTTGAAAACGGTAGGCAAACCGTAAGAGTTTGAAAACGGAACGAAATTCTACCGACATGCAGAGTGCCGTGTGAACGCCTAACCGTAAGAATTTCATTACGCGGTTAATATGCAAAATGAAATTAACAAAACTGCAAAAGTTGTTGTTGGATAATTCATTCTGTCTATTTTAACTGTTTTGTGCAGCATATTGTCAAAGCGGAATATAATCTGCCGGTATCGTGTGAACAGTTGAAACCGTGAAGATTTTCTGCCGACAGAATTCCATGCCGGTATCGTGTGAACGGGGTCTAAGTCCGTTACGTCCGTTTAGGGATTGTTACAATGTGCGCATCGACGCAATGGCCGTATTTCCTTCCCTTAGAGCACGTGCTTAGAGAACGTTCACCTTTGTTCAACTGTCAACCATGATGCCCTGCTAGGCTCCTTATGGTGGGCAAACCCATATTTGATATACGGCTGTCTAAATAGTTCTATATTCAGAATGTTCGCCCCAATAATGAACGACGTCTAAAGGTTCAATGGTCGAATATTCCTATTGTCGTCATTTTAGATTTGCAATGTTTTTCATGTCATATTGATGAATATTGCAAATACTACCGTTTATTAATAAAATGTCTTCGTCATTGTTTGCACACGTAATTATTTGTAACATTTTGTTGTATAATTACTCTGATGATGATTTTAAAAACTCAATGTTCGGTTTAGCATTCATTTTGTTTATTTGTTATTATTGCAAATACTGTTGTGGCAATGTCCAAACATCTTCGTCAAAACAATGATTTCAATATGCTTTGTTGGATATGCTTGGATTCAACTCGAAATATATTGGAGTCACTGCAATATGCAATAATGCATGGTTGATCGCCGCTGGGGGTGTACACAATTACACCGATAATCTGGTGTTAGAAGACAGAATAAAATAATAACAAGACTATACAATTTAAATCCATGTCTTTTAGTAACGATCCAACAAAGTTTAAAAAATAAAATTGGAGTTGTGGTCTGAATTATTCGTTATGGAGTTAGGGAAGGGGGGGGGCTCGATTACCAGCCCGTCCAGCCGTGACTCAAGTTGGACCCTAGGGGCAGGGGCGCCGGAGCCACGGGGGCAGCGGGGCCAATTGCCACCGTTGCCCAAACAGTGCGGGGGCAGCATGGGGCAACAGGTTGCCACTTTTACAACTGCACTTCGAAATTCGTGCGTCATTCTCAGGAATTGGAATTTATAACTATTTTTAGGCAATGTTTAAGCAATCTTTGCTTAATTGTTAACCATGCAGTTGTATTAAAAAAATGCTAAAATTTTATTTTGCGCCCTTAGCACGGTGCAACGAATAAAATTGTTGAAAATTAATGTCGAAGTTTTCCCACTCATAATAGCCAAGAGTAATCGAGTGGATCGGATACTCGATTAAAGTTTAACTCAAGCAAGTGCCCTTTCGAAATGGCTGCCCCCGCCGCTTCGCATTGCTTCCGGCGCCCCTGCCTAGGGAGGCATATACAAAGAAAATGTCTTCCTGGGAGCGGTCTCAGGATTCCCAAACTTGTGATTAAATAAACTCAAATGTTTGTATTCCATAATTTGTTCATGTTTTTGTACTAAATATAACTTGTCAACAACATTATGTTTGCGACGTTACTCTGAGTGCATATCCACACCGGTATTCCACCTAGTATTCCAAAGGTCGTAGGTTCGAATCCCACCGTGGCCGGGCGTATTTTTCAAACTCAGAGTAACATCGCAAACATATTATTCACCTGAGTACACAACACCAACACAGAAAAAAAATGTCAACAACATTTATAACAAAAACTAGATTTTCTTGTATAGACTACCAAGAAATTATTAGATGATCCACTTTATTATTGTTTTGATGAGAAATCACGCCCGATTTTTCTGAAACTGAATTCTCAGTCATCTTGTGGTTATCTAAATGTTACAATGTTTTCAGTTTGTCTTCGGCACCACTATATCTTATCCATATTTTTCAGGAATCACTTTGCCAGTCTTAGAAGCTCACTTTGACTCTCGCCATGTTCAAGTCACACACCTCACATGTTGTGGCGACAGGATCAACTACTACCCACGTTCCACAGTTTGTTGTGCTGAGAAACTGTTGCAGACAGGTACTGCAGGACTATCGTCTTGCTGTGGTGATATCAACTTCAATGAAAAGTCTCATATCTGCTGTGATAATACTATTCAACGACGTTTAACTTATGGCGAAAGCAGCTGTTGTGGTACCAAGGTTATCAATCCCAAGGAACATGTTTGCTGTAGTTCTAAAATTTTACACCAAATCTCTGGCAATGATTCTTGCTGTGGTGATATGAACTTTAACCCTTATACTCATGTTTGTTGTCTAGGTTTTATCTTAGAGACTTTAATATACAGTACTGCTTGCTGTGGTATGAAGAACTTTTACCCTCATACACGTGTATGTTGTGAAGACATACTTCTGCCAGTAGGAAATGGTAAAACTGCTTGTTGTGATATCGAAAATTATAACCCTAAAACTCATGTATGCTGTGGTGGAATAATTCACCCAATAGTTGCAAATCGTAATGTGTGTTGCGATGATAAACCCGTAAATCCATCTTTAACTGTATGTTGCCAGGACAACGTCCTTAGTCCTGCAGGCGGGAAGACTGCATGCTGTGGAGGAACTAACTACAATCCTACAACTCATGTTTGTTGTGAAAACACCATCTTAGATTCAAAATATGGTCGGACATCTTGTTGTCTGAACAAGAACTTTAATCCTTACTTTAAAGTGTGTTGTGATGGGAAGCTCATCCATGTCGGATACATGGCTGCAAAGTCGTGTTGCCGTGATAGATCGTATGTTCCAGGTGCTCAAATTTGTTGCCATGGTGTTGTTCTAAGTACCAACGGAGGATTGACAAAGTGTTGTAAAGATAAGAATTATAATCCTCGTACCCATGCTTGCTGTGCTGATCACATAGTGGATATAAAAATGCGAAATTAAATAACTGCATAAAATTACTGTAGGATTCAGAAAGCAATATCCCCTTATGAAAGCTAGAGACATTGTTTTATTGGGGCTCCCCCAAAATAAGCCCCCTTTCACTCCATCATTTCATCATTGGGTCAGTTTAGTGTGTAGGTGTCTATCATCCTAATAATAATATAATGCGTTGAATTTTTACTTTCTGGAGTCTTCTGATATTTCTTCTTAACTGTTTTCAATCACCTGAAGATGCTAGTAAAGGGCAAAAATGGGAACTGCGATTTGCATATATTTTTCACTGGGAATATATGTGAGATTTGAACGAATGGAAATGGGATTTGCACCAGCAATTTTGCTGCTGTGAATATGATTTGACAAATTAGTGGATTGGGGGACTGGGACTGATTTAGACAAAATTTTGGCTAAAAAATTGGGATTGAATTCCGTCTCTTCAAGACTCTCAAGCGAAAAAATATAGCACCCAAAAACATCGCCCCTATTTCACTTTTCCAATTAACTACATTGCCCCCACCCCCAATGAAATTGGTCTTCCCTTCCTAAAAGGGAAATAACAACTTAGTTAAGAACAGTAGTTTTGTATTTCCTTGACCAAACCTTTGTTTGCGGATAAAATATAAAGCTAATTAAAAAATGTTGTCCTTTCCTGAAACTCTAAGCGTGCAAAACATAATGGGAGCATCATTTAATCAGTTTAGAAATCATATATGGGGCCCATTTCTTAGAGACATGGTAAATATCTCCTTACGAGAACGATTCATTCACAAATAGCTGCAATATTCAACTACTAAGCTTGAAACTTGTGCTCCCATTAAGCTTTGCGCGCTTAGAGTTTAAGGTTTAGAGTTTAAGGTTTGCAAAGGACAACCTTTTTTGAATTGGCTGTATATCAACAATTGTGTCTAAAAATGCTTTAAAATTAACTTTTGATTGCTTTTCCACTGACAAATTCTTAAAAGAAGGCCCTGGCCAAAGATTGCTATATCCGAAGATTATGGAGTTTTTGCTTTCAGAATTCTACGGTATTCCCGATTGGACACAAAAGTTAATATATAGTATAGCTCAATATCGAAAAATATAATTTGTAACCGCATAATTTGTAACCGAATTGTAGCTACCATACCTTTGTAGCAGGAGCAGGTTGGAAAAGCTGCAAGAATTAGAAAGGAACATAATCTGTTGTTATTTTTATGTACAGTAAAGCAATTTCAATTTGGTTATAGATAGAAATTGACATAATAGAACAACACTGTAATCTCTATGTGTGTATAAACATATTGAACTATACAAATTTAATCTGTGAAAGAAAGACTATAATCAGCATGTATCAAGGATATTGAAAAAAGAACTTAAAAAGTATGCCATATATATATATATATAGAAGATGACAAATATAAATTAATCCTATATAATGGATAAAAAATAAATGTAAATCTAATTAATTAATTAATTAATGAACTAATAAATATAATTACTAACGATTTTAACGTGCTGCTCAGGGCATTTATTTAACACCATAGCGTGGTAGGGCATTTGCCCCAGTGGACACTTTTAGTTGCCTGGTCAGTAAAGGACAAAAGGCTCAGTGCTACTCGAGTTCTTAGTTATAAATTTTTGAACAACTTTGCAATAATTCAATATTTTTGTTTAATTTAATTAACGAATGGAGTATTGTAAACCCACCCCCTATACCTGACAACAGTGTAACGGTCATATTAAAAATAGGTACGCTAGGCGTACATGTATCTGCGCAAAGGAATTCCATGGTTGCTATGAAAAAATTTCATTCACAATTATGGAGTAAACATTAAACAGTTTAGTAAACTGCCGGCTATATAGTGACTAAGAAAAAAATGCTAAGTCAGACAAGATAAAACACCATGGGCGTACCGGAAGGAAAAATTTAGGGGGGCGGAAAAAAAATTGCCCGACTTTTCGTGATTGTGCCCGACTAGTACCAAAATTTTTTTCCGGAAATATTATTTTGGCGACCTCCCCTCACCCCCCCCTCGTCGCCAAAAAATGTTTGGTCAGTGTACCATTTTAGGGGTCAAAAAAATTTCCGGACATACCAAAATTTTTCGTAACATCGCACAAATTTTCCAAAAAAAATACATTTCCCACAAAATTAACAAAACTTTCGACAAAATTTACATAATTTGTCCCATTTATTTTTATAACTAACCAAAATTGCCCGACTGTTGATCGAATATTGCCCGACTGCCCAAAAAACTGGGGGGGGGGGCTACCACCCTCTCCCCCGCCCCCCCCGCCCGGTACGTCTATGTAAAACACAACCCGGACTGCGTTTTTTATAAAGTTTTTTATATTTAACTATACAGGGTGTATAAAAAAAACTGAACAGATTTGAAATTGCTCTCAATTTTGCAAAACAGCTATTAGTATCCTGTTTTTGTTATATATATAGCTTCTTTGCGTATTTATAATGTAAAATAATAAAAAAAATTTCGAACTCAAATTTTGTGAACCAG